GGCACCGGGCGCCCTCCGAGGAGCAGCCCCGGAGCTCTGCAAGGCAGCGGCGTCCTGCCGCAGCCCGGGCGAGGTGCTGCTCACCTGGCTATGTCAGCGTAGCCGTCGCTGCAGGCCATGTGCAGGGGCGTCCACCCGTTCTCGTCCTTCTGGTGGATGTCAGCACCATATTTAACCAGCAGCTTGACACAGTCCAGGTTTCCGGTAAGAACAGCTTCGTGGAGGGCTGCCATGCCTGGAAGGACAGGATTTGTTAGCCCTGGACTGGGCGAGGAGTCTCTAAAACGCTGAGCTTACAAGTGCAAGTTGTCCACAGCCCAGGAAAGAGGGGTTCCAGCAAACCCTCGTTGTTAGGGAGACGAGTTTGGGGAAAGAAACAAAGACTGAAGAAGCAAAAGGAGATGCCGCAGGTTTCTGTTCCCCTTCTGCAGCATAAATACCCTCTCTAAGATGGCATAGCACCCACCTCCCTGCTGGGCCAGGCAGGACAGATAAACCAAGGAGGAGCTGCCCTCTCCTGCAGAGCTCCCGGTCAGCCCCGAGTCCTCGCCAGGACTCACGTGGGGACACGAGGAGAAGTGTCTCCGATGTCCTGCTCTGTCCCAAGTTTTGGAAGCTCCTTACATAGCAAGTAATGAAGCAATCAGCATGGATAGGAGGAAGCCCGGGGTCATTTGAGACCCCGTCTCCGTGGCCATGTGACAGCAGGAGCTGAAGCCAAGCACAAGAAAGGGACAAATCTGGGCTCTGCACCAGCCAGTGCGGATCAAGGCATTCCATAAACAGTTGCTGGTGAGGTTGGGCACAAACACAGCACAATGCCTCCCCCACAAACAGAAATGCCGCAAGTCCACAGATCCAGCTGTGCAAGAGAGAGAGCAGTGTGTGTCAGAAACGGACAGAGCCAGGAACAAAACGTGGAGCCTTGTTTCTCCCTGCTCTTTCCCCAAACCGAGGCGGAAGGCAGGAGCCCCACTGTCCCATCCAGAGCTCCACAGACCAGCCTTTGCTCACCGCTCCTTTCCTAGGTCCCACCACGCTGCGGGTACACGGTGATGCCTTGAAGGGGCCCAGGGGTAAGCGTCCCCGCACCCCACAGTGTGCACTGGCCACACTGTGGTGGGGAGGTGTTTGGGCGCTGGCACGGGGGTCTCTTGGGCCCTGGTTTGCAACGCTGGGCCACAGTGTGCACTGGCCACACTGTGGTGGGGAGGTGTTTGGGCGCTGGCACGGGGCTCTCTTGGGCCCTGCTTGGCAATGCTGGGGGCCCTGCTCCTCACTAGGGAGGAAAATCGGCTCGATGCCAACCTGCCGCCCTGCCGAAGGTGGCCCACATGCTTGTCTGGCTGCACGCTGAGCCGTGCTGCTGCGCAGACTGCAGCTCCGCCAGCCCCGGCAGCACTCACCAGAAGGGTAGATGGTGTCCAGCGTCACCTTCCTGGCACGTATGAACCTGCCCACCTGCTCCAGGTCCCCCTGCCTGATGTGGTCCTGAAAGACGACATCGTTGGGGAAGCGCACGGTGCGTGAGGCTCTCAGTCTCTGGACGTACCGACTGTACCGGGGCATTGAGACTGAGTAATAGTCCTTCATGCTGATCTTGGCCTTCAGGCACCACAGAGGAAGAGGTCGAGCAGAGGCGTGGAGGGCTGTAGGGGCAGCCGGAGTTGCTCAGTGCTCGGCCCAGCACTTGCTGCCCTCGAAGTGCTCCTTTCTGCTCTTCTGCCGGTTGGATCCCTCCTCGCTGCGCAGGCGCGATGGCACTCCCTGCGTTCCCGTGTCTGTGCCTGTGCCCGGGTCCCCTTGCTACACTCCCATGCTGCCCGGCACTGGGCGCACACAGCTCGCCCGCCCGCCCTTGGCCCGGGACTGATGGTTCTCCAGGGCCTTGGTGTTATATAGGCTCCCGCGGGCTATTTTGAGGACATGCAGCTCATGCTATTTGCCATGACACTTTGTAACTGAGCCGTCCAGGCCTGCAGCCTCCCACTTCTGGGCAGAGGTTGGTGTCTCATCTTACGACCCACCTGTTGGTTGGTGTGCCCATCCAAGCGGGCAGATCTACTCTTGCTTTTGCATGGGCAGCCCTTCAGAGAAGCCCAAGGGCCTGCAAACAGAACTGGCCAGCAGGAAGCCCTCACTCACGCACGCATGCATGCCAGGGAAAAGACACAAGCACGGTCACCAGGCGAGGGGAACCGGCTGCTCACGTAGCGACCAGGCAGTGCAATGCAGGCGTGTCAGAGCTGTGGTGCCAAATACATGCAGAGCTAAGTCACTCTCCTGTGGTTGCATCATACAACTTGAAAGGAGCAGAATGAGCTGTGCTGCCTGGCACGACTGCATGACAACGTACAGCTAAGCATGGCGAGCACCACCAGCATGTTGGACATCATCAATGCCCGTGTGAGGACAGAGGTGCTGCTGGTGCTCCTGATGCAGAGCCAGAAGCCCTCAACGCCAGTCCACGATGTTCAGCGTTGTCCTTCAAACTCAGAACCAGCTGCTGCGTAAGGGCACGCTTCTACAGAACAGCCTCAGAAGAATAGCTGAAGAACAGCACCACCACCAGACAATTCCTGCATTCGTTACTCTCCAGCAGTAGCTGTCAGAGGCCCAGAATGGACCATTTGCCACAGAGGAATCTTTCAGATCTATCAAGCATTCAAGCAACAACTGCTCCTCCATCCTTTTCCCCATCAAAGTTTGGTCATTTCAGATACATGACCATATCTGGCTCTGCTTCATGCTGATGGGGATTGTCTACGCAGGGCAATGAACTGCCCTGCAGTATCAGGAGAAATCCCTGCCCTGCATTAGGGGTGACAGAGATCATTCTGCCCCTTGTCCTGAGCCCCTGCCAGCAGTGAGGCCGACAGCTCCCATCAGACACGCACCCGAGAACGGCCTGCTGCACCCGTTCATCTTCTGGCAAACACATTGATCTTTCTACTGAGCATCTCTGCTCAGTGGTACATCAGACAGAACACCGTGCGACAGGACGCTTTTAGCCTGCTTTCTTGGAACAGCAATTAGCTGTGTACACAAGATGACTCCAACAGAGTCCTGCTCTACCAGGCACAGCCTTGGTGTATGAGAAAAGCCCCCCCTCCTCTGATCCAAGCAAGGCAGGTCTCAGGCCATAAACAGAGGAGAAACTGCAGAGCTCAGCCTTGTTTACACTTTGGCTCCACAAAATGGACCTTTTTGAGCTGAGTCTTCCAGTGGAGCTTCCTACTAGCAGTGCTCTCTTCCTCCCCACCCCAAAACACAAAGTTGCTTTCTTACTTAGAAGCAGCAGCCGCTGACACTGCCTGCTCTGCTGGGCCACGGTGATTGCTGCTACACCAAGACAAGTCCCTGGGCTGCCTTCAGATACACGAGGTCACGGCCCTGGAGGGAGGCATCTTCAGAGACCCTTCCCCACATAACCACAGGTAACAGTCAACCACTGGTCTGGTTGCAGATGTTGCTGCTCACTGCAGGGGGGGTCGGACTGGATGGCTCTTAAAGGCCCCTTCCCACCCAAACCATTCCGTGGCTCTGTGACTCCTGACAGGAGAGGCAGTGGCAAACACCATTCCCTGATCCCACAGCCCGCGACCGCCCGTTCAGCCCCAGCGCTGCTGTGCCTGGTGCCACTGCACCAGGGTCCTTGTTCCCAGGGAGCTGCGGACAAGTGCTGCACAGGGCTTCTGTTCTGCCACCCCAGCACACCCACACACGGTGACAGGCACCAGTAGCCTCCCAGGTTGCCCTCTAGCTCCACCATGCCCTCCCCTGTGACATTTATAGCATATTTGCTTACAAAAATATTTTCGGCAGCAAGTGACTGGTTTGGAAATAGCAGTGTAGCTCACTGGATCATGTGAGCCTGACTAGCAGAGGTACCAGCAGCCCCAGGTCTTCCCGTCGGCAAATTCCTTGGTTAACTGCTCAAGAGCAACAAGGTCCTCTCGCCTCAAGCCAGCTGGCAGAGCTGCTTCTTCTCAGAGCCCAAGC